ATGGGATTTATGGGATTTGGAATGGAATTTATGGGAGGGGATAGGATGGGATCAATGGGATCAATGAGATTTATGGGACTTTGGGATGGCATGGGATGGGATGGGATGGGATGGAACGGGATGGGATGGGATTTATGGGATCAATGGGATGGGATCAATGGGATGGGATTGATGGGATGGGATTTGGGATGGGATCAATGGGATTTTTGGGACGGCCCCCCAGCCCCCTCCCCAAGCCCCCACCTTGTGCACGGTGCCGAAGACGCCGGAGCCCAGGACCTTGAGGCGCTTCAGCTCCGACTCCTTGAAGATCCGGGCCAGGACCTTGTTGGCTTTTTCACTGGGGTCCAGCGGCTCCAGGCTCTGTGGGGACACGGCGTGGCAACGGGGACAGGGACGGGGACACGACGTGGGGACAGGGACACGGCATGGCAATGGGGACAGGGACAGGGACACGGCGTGGCAACGGGGACAGGGACGGGGACACGGCATGGGGACGGACACGGCATGGGGACGGGGACAGGGACATGGTGTGACAACGGGGACAGGGACATGGCATGGGGACAGGGACAGGGACAGGGACAGGGACACGGCGTGGCAACAGGGACAGGGACGGGGACGTGGCATGGGGACAGGGACAGGGACGGGGACACAGCGTGGGGATGGGGACAGGGACACGGCATGGCAAAGGGGACAGGGACATGAATTGGGGATGGGGACGGGGACAGGGACACGGCGTGGCAACGGGGACAGGGACGGGGACAGGGACATGAAGTGGGAACGGCATGGGGACAGCGACACGGCATGGGAATGGGGACAGCGACACGGCGTGGCAAGATGGGACCTGGCGTGGGAATGGGGATGGGATAGGGACAGGGTGTGGGAATGGGATGGGGACAGGGACAGGGACAGGGACATGGCCACAGGATGGGGACGAGGATGGGACAGGGACGGGTACAGGAACAGGGACAGAAAAAGGGACAGGGATGGGGACAGGGACAGGAGCACAGCAGGATGAGGATGGGGAGCGGCTGGGATGGAAGCAGAGCTGGGACTGGACGGGGATGGGGCTGTCCCGGTGGGACACAGGACCCGCCCCCTCCCCACCACGCCGGTGCCGCTCCCGGGGCCGCTCCCGGTGCCGCTCCGGGGCCGCTCCGGGGCCGCTCCAGGGCCGCTCCCGGGGCCGCTCCCGGTGCCGCTCCCGGTGCCGCTCCGGGGCCGCTCCGGGGCCGCTCCCGGTGCCGCTCCCGGGGCCGCTCCGGTGTCCCGGCTGACCTCGCCCCGCTCCAGGTAGCGCCGCATCGCCCGTTTCTTCTGGATCTTCTTGCCCCGCCAGTAGAGCAGCGCCAGCAGCACCAGCGAGCACGAGAGGAACACGGCCCCGACCACCATGACCGCGATCAGCGTCGGGGTCCGCCTGCGGGACCGGGAACCGGGCGGGAACCGGACGGGACCGGGGACGGGGATGGGAACGGGAACGGGAACGGGGACGGGAACAGCAACGGGAACGGGAACGGGAACGGGAACGGGGACGGGAACGGGGACGGGAACGGGAACGGGGATGGGAATGGGAACGGGAACGGGGACGGGGATGGGGATGGGGACGTGGGAAAGCACAGAGTTAGGGTCCCGGCAGCACCTCAGGGTCCCTGTAGCCCCCCGGGATGTCCCCACACCTCCAGGGATGTCCCCACAACCCCCGGGATGCCCCCACAGCCCTCCCGGGATGTCCCTGTAGCCCCTCGGGATGTCCCCGCAGCCCCCCCGGGATGTCCCCGCAGCCCCCCGGGATGTCCCCGCAGCCCCCGGGATGTCCCCACAGCCACCCCGGGATGTCCCCACAGCCCCCCCAGGGTCCCCGCAGCCCCCCGGGATGTCCCCGACCCCCCCGCGGTACCTGGACACGGGCAGGGTGTCCCCCAGGCAGTCCCGCAGCAGCGGCCCCACACACCTGTGGGGAGGGACGTGGGGGTCAGCCCCTGGGGGACCCCCCCCAGCGGAGACCCGGGACCCCAACTTGTGCCCCGCGGGGTCCCCAGACCCCCCAACCTGCCCTGAACGACGTCTCAGACCCTCAGCCTGCCCCTCGTGGGGTCCCCACACCCCAAAATGCCACCAGTGAGATCCTGAATCCCCTAGTCCTGCCCCAAATGATGCCCGAGGACCCCCCACCCTCCTCCCAAAGAGGTTTTGGGACCCCCACCCTATCCTCCACGGAGTCCCACTGGGGTCCTGAGCCCCCCAACCTGCCCGGGTCCCCTCCAGTGATACCCCAGGGTCCCCAAAGAGGCTCCCCAGAGAGGTTTTGAGACCCCCCACCCTGCCCCCAGTGATACCCCAAGACCCCTACCCTCCTTCCAAAGAGATTTTGGGACCCCTACCCTCCCCTCCACGGGGTCCCAGTCGGGTCCTGAGCCCCCCAACCTGCCCAGAGCCCCCAAAGAAACTCCTCAAAGAGCTTTTGGGACCCCCACCCTCCTCCCAAAGAGCTTTTGAGACCCCCACCCTGCCCTCCACATCCTCCCACGACCCTCCCCCATTCCCCCATGGGATCCTGCCCCCATAACCTGCCCGGGCCCCCCCAGACCCCCCCCGGCTGGCTGTCCCCGTGTCCCCCCGGGGCCGGACGCACCCCCGGCTGCAGTTCTCGTGGCAGGGCCGGCACTCGCGGCTCCCGTCGGGGAATTTGTAGATGGGGCCGCGCTCCCCCAGGACACCATCGGGACATCGCTCCACGCAGTGCGGCCCGTCGCGATAGTGGGCGCAGCGCGTGCAGGTGTCGGCACCCTGCAGGGGGCGGGGGGGGGGGGTTTGTGACAGTGTGGGGACACTGCGGGGACACGGCGGGGACACGGCCGGGCCGTACCGAGCCGTTGCAGGTGGCGCCGCCGTCGATGCGCTCGCACTCCGGGTGGCACTCGGTGCATTCGCCGCCCTGCGAGAACTCCCGGGGGTCCCTGCGGGCACACCGGGGGGGTCACCGTGCCCGCCCGGCGGTGACAGGGCCACCCCGGTGGTGACAATGCCACCCTGATGGCGACAATGCCACCCCGCGGTCCGCACCAGTGCGCGGCTCACCTGGGACCCCCCATGCCCACCCCC